AAGGGGTCGGCTCGCAGTTCGTCTGGTGCCGTTTCGGATTCCCTTTCCTCCCGCAAGAGGTGCTTTTCTTGTCTGCTCGGTGGAAGGTGGAAATGTCGTAGCGGCGGAAGAACGGGGAACGGATGGCGGGAAGCGTCTCTCTGCGGATGGGAAATGAAGGAATGGCTCGGAGAGTACGGGATGAAATTCGTTTTACTTCACGAAATTCGGCATCGACTCAAGGATGAAAATTTCAAAGAAAAGTGTTTTTTTAAAAGATCAACTGCTGCTCGAAGGAGTTTTCTACGCTGGGTCAAGAAGTTCGGGTGGGTTTCGAGGTGCGGTGCGCGACGTCGCGGTTCGCTCACTTCGCGGATCCGGCGGGCGTGGACGGGACGCGGCTGCGGCCGTGGCCGTGGCCCTCGAGCGTCCCCGACTTGAGGGGCAGCCGAGACTTCCGCTTCTTCGGGACGGGTTTGCCGTCGCTGGGATGCGTGGAGGCGACCTGAGAGGAGGGGAGGGCGTCGTTCGCTTTGCCCCTGTCGCCGGCGTCGTCTGCGGCCTCGGGCTTGGCCTCCCGGGCCTTCTTGGGCCTGGGCTTGCGTTTGGTGGTCGCGGATCCGCCCGAGGCAGGGAGGTCGTCGGGGGCGTGAGGCGTAGAGGTCGTGGGGGGCGCGGGGGCGGCTGCCTTGCGCCTGGTGGGGCCGGGTTCTCCGGCTTCCAAGGGGGAATCCCCTGCGTTGCGTTTGGGATTCGTCTCTGGGGCGGGTGGGGCTGCCGCCTTGCGCCGGTTCGGGGCGGGTTTCGCTGCCGCGACGACGGTCTCGGATGCGTTGGACTCGGACGTCGCGTCTGGAGCAGCGGTGGCCGATACGGTACGTCTTTTAGCGACTTTTTTGGTGTTTCCTTTGCGCTTGGCGGTTTTGGGTTCTTCAGCCCCCACCAGAGCTTTCGGCGTCTCTGTTTGGTTAGAAGTAGAAGCAGTTGCCGCAGAAGCAGTAGCAGCGGAAGTAACAGTAACGACAGCTTCTGGGCCTTGCTCTTGTTCCTTGGATGAGGCAGCAGCGGCTTTGGTGGACCTGGTTGGCCTCTTCGCCGCATCTTTGGTCTTGGGTTTGGACGCGGTGGCCCCGAGTCCTGCCGTGTCTTTGGTCTTGGGTTTGGACGCGGTGGCCCCGAGTCCTGCCGTGTCTTTGGTCTTGGGTTTGGACGCGGTGGCCCCGAGTCCTGCAGCGTCTTTGGTCTTGGGTTTGGAGACGGTGGCCCCGAGTCCTCCCGGATCCATCGCAGGAGCAGCCGCGGCCTTGCGTCTGGTGGTCGCGGGTCGCCCGGGCGTCACGGGCATCGCGGGGACGGGAGTGGCAGAGACCGTATGCCTTTTCGCGGGTTTCTTGGGATGACCCTTGCGCCTGGTGGCCTTGGGCTCTCCGGTTTCCGTGGAAGCACCGGATGTGTCGATTCGGGGATCCGTCTCGACGGGGGCAGGCGCTGCTCTCGAGGGGTGATGCAGCCCTTGCTTTTTGGACGAGGGTGGAACGACAACCTCTTCCGAAAGGTGGCTGGGCACTTTTTTCTTGGTCGTCGACAGGGCAGCGGCAAATTCCGAAAGGTTGCTGGGCCGTTTTATCTTGGACGTCGACAGTGCCGCAGCAACTTCCGAGAGGTTGCTGGGCCCTTTTTTCTTGTACGAGGACGAAGCACTCGCAGCCTCCGAAAAGTGGCCGAGTTTCTTCGATGTGGATGCGGCAGCGGCAGCGGCAGCAGCAGCAGCTCTCGTGGATCTCGTGGGCATTCTCACGACCTTGGGTGTGGCCTCGACCGCAAAGGCCTTCGCTTCCCTTGGCTCGGGGAGAACGCACGACGCGTTTGGCTTCCCGTTCGGTCGGGGTGCGACTGGCTCTGGGGGGTCTCCTTGCTCCTTGGCCGCTGCCGGGCGCGGGGGCCGAGCCGGGGGCCGTTTGGACTTGGCTTTGCGGTGGGTGGACTTGGGTCCGTCCGCCGTGGAAGTGCTCGGGTCCGCTTTCGGTTCGGGGGGAGGTGCGTCCACGGAGATTTTTGGGATATCTTCGCCGTCTTTTTCCTTGATCGTTGCCGGAGTGGAAGGAGTCGTCGTCGTCGTAGCTGCTTCTGGAGGGTTTCCTGCTTCTTTCGCTCGGGAAGCCACAGCAACAGTAGCGGTAGAATCGCTTGGGAGGTCGCCTGCTGCTCGCCTCTGCGACGAGGCAGCAGTGCTACTGTGAATAGCAACATTTCCTGGAAGGGCTCCAGTATCCTCCACTTGCGATGGAACGACACTACGAGGGGAAATAGCAGTAGTAACAGTAGAGGAAGCTGCAGTAGTAGAAGTAACAATAGAGCAAGTGGCAGTCGTAGGAGCGACAGACGAGGAAGCAGAGGTAACAGGAGCAGTGGTAGCAGTAGCAGTGGTAACAAGAGCAGTGGGAGCAGTAGCAGTGGTAACAGAAGCAGTGGTAACAGGAGCAGTGGTAGCAGTCTTAGCGATAGGAGCAGTGGTAGCAGTCTTAGCGATAGGAGCAGTGGTAGCAGTCTTAGCGATAGGAGCAGCAGTCGCTATTGCTTCCGGGAGTTGCCTCGCTTCGTCTTTTTCGCGAGCGACGCGAGGCGCAGCATCGCCGTCCGGGAGGTCAGACGCGGCAGCCGGCCCGTTCGCAGCCTGCTTCCTCCCCTTGCGAGCGGGGGCAGGGGCGGGGAGTCCCTTCGCCTCCTTCGCTTGCTTGGGCCCGGGGGCCGCGCGGGGGACGTTCTCCTTCCGGCTTTTCTCGATCTGCGGGAGCAGTCGAACGAGTGGATGATGGAGGACAGGATTCTTAAAGTTAAAACTTTTCTCTACGAATCTATTTCGAGCTATAAACATCATATTTCGGGGCGGGGCGAGGGGAGGGCGATGTTCACAATCCTTCAGTAGTAAAACCAGAGTAGGAATCGAAAGGAATCAGCAAACCGTACTTCAATTTTGACCAATAAATACATTTGTCTGTGTTTTGCTTTTTCTTCCAGGCAATGGAAACTCAAAACAGGAAAAGTCATTGGATTCCCGTAATTTCAATTCTTTTCAGTCCCTGACGAGATATATAAGTAAAAGGGCTCCTAAAGGGGGCCTACAAGGGATTTTCCCCCTCTGAATGCAGGGGGCACCATTTTATACCATTTAGTTCCATACGGTACGAAATGTTACGGCCAAAATCGGGAAACCGATTTTGCTGTCAACTCATTCAATTAAAAAAAAATAATCAGGGCCTTTCACCGACTCGATGAGTCTACTCCGAGAGATCCCAAAAGCCCATCCTCTCCCAGCAGAGAGGTGCTCAAAAGCCCTTTGACCTGGGAACTGCCAAAATCTGGACCAAGGAAAAGAAGAAACCGACCGCGAAGATGCTCGGGGGGGGGGGGAGTACCCCTCACAATTCCCGCTCGAAGAGTTTTGAACCTGATATTTTTTTGTTGGCTCTGGAGTTTACAGGTTCGTCAAAGTCATCGCTCTGGATCTCTCCAACCCGTCTCAGTCCGGTCACATTTCGTGAAAAAAAAGAGAATCCGGGCTTCCTCATCCGTCCGGATCGACGTCGCCGACGAGAGGAGGAGCTTTCTCTCGGTCGTCGAGACGACAATTCATCAGATTCAACGGTCGACCTTAATCCCAACCGAGCTATTTTTTCTTCCCATCTGGACCCAAACCGAGCAGTGAGGAATGAGCACGTGAAGAGATTTTACAAGAAAGCATTATTATTTACTTATTACTTATTATTTTAATAATTTTTTTTTAAATACCAATATTGGAAAAGGATGTGAAATAGTTTTGATACTGACAGTTCCTCTCGCCGATCGGCCAAGACCTTACGTCGATATTTCAAGCGGTCTTCAGGCGGTTTCAAGCCGCCTCGACAGAACATTAGTCGCGATACAAAAACAGGAAAACCCTCGCACCACTTTTTATAATAATTTTTTTTTTTCATTTTTAACGTCATGCTTCATTACCCAATGATAGGAATCCGACGGGACACGGCAACTATTAAATTCTTCAGTAATGGTGAAAACGAATCGGTCGACAGCGATACAACGCGGAATCGTCGTCGATCCACCGCGGCCGATTTTCTCTCCAATCAATAATGGAAAACACCCGTGCACTAAGCACTCCGGTCTCGGGCGTGTTAATCTAAGCGTCAACCACGACCATGACGAAAAACGCACAGAAAAAAGCAGTTTCCCCTAGGTATCGCGAAAACACTCGCTCACACAGGGTGGCAGTTCCAACCACGCCGTGGGAAAAGTGCTCGAGACGACACTCGACTCGATCCTTCGACTTTCGGAGGAGGAGGTCGACAAAAAAGCGCCACGATTCCCCGGCGAAGCAACGACACGGAGTCCAGTGAAACCCGTGCCGCCGAGTCCATCCGCGTCGGCGGCGTACAGAAGCGGACGAGATGCGCGGAGGGAGGAATCGTTCCTCCCTTGCCCTCCCTTGGGGGGGGGGGGGGGAATTTCGCGGACTTTCTCCCGCCTGGGGCGGAGAGAGAGAGAGAGAGAGACCTGCTCAGCCGCTTAGTGGAGTTTTAGGTTATTCTTTGCCAGGGAAAACCATTTTTCATCGCGAGTCCTTGCGTATTTGTTTCGTCTGACCTTGTCGTTCCGGGCAATGCTGTATGAGAATAATCATTTTTTGCTTCTTCCGCATCGATGCCTGATCTATTTACATCCTCGTTTCCGTCTTTATTCACGGGTCGTGGTAATGGTAACGCTCATCGACAAGTACAGTCGACTCCGCATATTGGAATACTCGTGGGACCAACGGACTTTATTCTACAATCCGGAGAATTCCAACAACCGAAACTATCTGTTGCATCGTACCATAAAACGGGACCGTGCAATGATATTCCATAAAGCGGAGTCGATGGTATATATGCATATAAATAAACGTTAAGGATGAAACGCCTTCGTGGCTTATCTCGTCCACCCACGCCTCAAGCCCTACACACGCCGCTTACACCAATCACCCCTTAAGAACGATCGAGGACCGGGGGATCGGACGAGAGCCTCACCTGGCCGTTGAGCCGAGCGCGTTTCGACCAGCCGGGACCCTTCCCTTCGGACTCCGCAGCGACGATCGGGATGAGGAAGAAGGAGGGACGGCGTCCCTCGCGCGTGTCCTCTTCCATGGAGACCGGGTGGGCGACCTTCGACCAATGCCCTCCACGAACGCACACGGGGGACTGGGGCTGGGTCGGCTGACGCAGGGGAAGCGAGGCGGCGGGAGGGAGGTCCGGGGGTGGAAAGGCTTGCCAGAGTCAGACTTGTGTGTTGTCGGTGGGGCCGAGAGGCCTCGAGGCGAATCCCAACTTTCTTTTTTTCTGGTTTTTTTTTTTTTCTTTCCACCCGAATCGAGAGATCGGGGTTCCCGTGAGGCGCACAGAAGCAGTGCATGGAGGAAAAATTGGGACGCAGAAAATTCGATCCTGTGGTGAAACGGTGCAGGTCCAGGTCCCCATGTCTGCTATAATAATAATAATAATATTTGTTATTTATTATAGCTGGCCGAGGCCACCTCTCGGGTCCTCGCCACAGTCCCGGTCGAGATTTCTGGGACCGACTCCCAGATCCACGGCCTTTAATATGAGCCAAGGCCATCCTCGCGATCGTCATGTCATGTCGTCCTGCAATTAATCACGATCCTCGGCTGTCAAAAGCGGGAAGGCCCAGAATTCATGCTCCAATTCGGCGGGCGAGTCAGTCTGTCCTACTTCCGACCAAATATCGGGTGACATGCACCAATCGAGGCATCGGATCGGTTGAAAGACGAGACCAACACGTTCACTAAAACACGTTTTAAGAACGTGTTAGTCTCCGGCATGCACCACCGAAAGTCAGATTGGCTCTCTCGAACTCGTTTAAAGCCTGGAATATCGTGCTTCCAGCTATCTATCAGCTATCAGCTCTATCGTCCGAATTCGGTTCCATCGGAAGGTTCGAGAAGGTCGAGCCATATTTGATGGTCCTCCTGGCAGGATCACGTCAAAAGCTTGCATCTCTTCGTTGGTTTCCGTTTCCACCGCTGCAAGACGATGAAAGGTAAGAAAACCGAGGCCCATTGCGACGAAATAGCGTGCTAAACGATGGGTGACGTGTACCGAGTCCGTTTAAGCTAAACGAATCTGGTGCATGTCACCCAATCTCTGAGATTCCGTTTAGGGGAATAAACCCGGCATGTTCATCCGTCGAGATTCGTTCGAGAGAGAAAGAAACAGATTGCGTTGGGTGCGTGTCACGAACCGGCTTAACGATGAATTCAACTCATTCTTGAACGTGTTTACCTGGAATCAGAACCGTTTAGCTCCTGAACCGACGTGGCGCGTGTCACCCATAAACGTGAAATTCTCGCGATGACGAATGTGCCATGTGGCGAATCCCCCTGACGGCCCTGGCCTTCACGTATTTATACGAGAATTAAAAACATAAAATAAAAATAAGATAAAAAATAAATAAAAATGCGCCAGAGCCGACGGAAAAGCCCACAATTCACGTCATGCGCCGGCAATCCCTCCGAAGGAAAGGGAGGTCGCCAACGGGAACTGGGCAGACCGGGCAGACCGGGCAGACCGGGCCACCGAACTTCTGCGCTGATGGCACCGTTGACATCGATGAAAAGTTAACGTCGACGTTCCGTGTAACGAACTCGAAGGGACATCTCTCATTTCTCTCATTTCCCTGAAAAAAAAATAGAAATCTGTTAAACTTATGTCAATATCAGTTCAAAATGTCACTTAGTGTTGAAAAGCGAGTCGTCGTCCCTTCATAAAACGAGTGCGAAGGTCTAAGCGCATAAAATATGGCAGAAATTCAGCTCTCAGGGGTTACATATGTACCTTAATGGGTACTTAAATCACGTGTAATAAAAATCGGACGCGTCAGCAACGCTCTCTATTCGAAGGAAACGAAGTGAAACCGATCGTCAGCCTTTCCTGGAGGATTCTTCGAGCCACGGTCGATGTTCAAACGTTTCATGCTCGGCATTTCCGGCCCGGGTCGGGAAAACAGCCGGTCGATTGCTCGACCGAGCATAAATCTCGACGCGGCCTGGTCCCGAGAAGGATTAAGACCGATGGACGTCGTTCCCGCACCGACAAGTACGTAGGACGTGCTAAATTTAGATGCCAGATTAGATTTTTTTCGAGGAATGCGCGGGAGGAAAGTAGGGGAAAAAAAAATTCCTGCTGGATGTAGGTGGACTGTTCTGGATTTCTCCGGCGGGAAAAAGACAGTCTGGAAACTGAATTAAATCCAGCTGGACTTCGCCAGCTTTAAATTTCTAGCGGGAATATTCTGTCTAACCAGAAGGAAAATTCCAACGGGATCCAGCAGGAAATGCTCGTTGGAGAGCATGCTGGAAAACGTCGGATATTGCTGGAATCTCTTATTATCATCATTACGCCACGTACTTCCCAACAAACAAGGCTACGTTGGACCAACGTTCCGAACGTTCATTCAGTGTTGATTCAACGTTGAATCAAATTGTTTGCTGGGTTGCTTGCAGGCCTCGAATGTTTTTTGTCATGTGAGACTCATTAGTAAACTACGCAATTGATGACGGATTTTTTTGTAACCGTTTCAATGCCTCCTAGGATTTAACAAAACCGCCGCAGACAGACAGTAATGCTCAAGAGAATAAGCATTTATGCAGTGGGTTTGCAAACATGGATGTCCCATTTATAAAATCGAATGAATTCCAAGGCACGGTATTCCCTATATTAAGATATGTACAGTTTAGTACATATCTACCATTCATAAATTATTATATTATCCAAGACTGGAACACTCCCTTCATAATGCATGGCCCCCATATATGAAGTTCCGTCCATTTCAGTATCGGTGGTCAGGAGATCTTGTATTGGCAACTGGACAGACCTATACAAAAAACTATCAAGCCTAATTTTACAAAAATGGCGGCAGTTATTTCACCTAGATGACACCAACAATCTGAGTTGTCTCCTTCGTTCTCCCCCAGCAGATGGTATGCGAATTCAATCCAAAAACAGTGTATGTGTTAACTTATATTCGAAAGCGGGAGAACGCTGCGACTGGAACATTTGTCCCACAAGACAATTTTTTTTTACTCTAAAACGTGAATATCTCGGAGGTTAGCATATTCAAGATGGGTGAAAGTTTTTTCACAAAAGGCGTGAGTGTGAAGTGTGCATGATAGATTGGTCTGCCACCACTTCCGATGAAATCGAATACGCTCAAATCCACTCATTCCGGTTCATTTGAAGTGCTGCCTGGGTAGCCTATCTGCAGGGTGATTCGGTTTTACTACGGGGATAGGCTGTCATGCACAATAGAGGCTCGCCTAGTCCTGCTGTTCATTCATAGGTCGTCTTGTTGGGCTTATGAAATGACTTTTGGCAAGGGCCCAGGCCCTTGCCGAAGGTCAGTTTTTCCTGGCAGGCCGGGAAAAATGAAAAAATTAAAATTTCAGGGTTTTCGAGAAGCAGGTTTCAGCCGCAAAAAAAGTTAGTTTTTTAAATAAAACCATTGGAGCCAACCGATGTCAGGTCTGCTCATAGGTCTAAGCTTGAACCTTGTATGAGTGTTTTTGTTCTCTCTGCAGGCAATGATAATGTAGGCCTATCTTGCTTTATACTGGCCCATTTTGAATGTTTGCTGCTGCATTTTTTTGTTGCTTAGGTGATTTGCTTCACTACGGGGATATTCCAAAAAGTCCAGTTTCTCAAAGCTTGAAATTTGTGCCATTATGACCTGTCACATAAAGTTCACAGGCTCTGAGAGTCAAGTATATGCCTCTGTTGATGATAACTACTACAAGTATTAGAATCAGGGCCAAAATCCAAATGAGATGTGTTCACTCTTGAATAGTGCATCTGATCAGGAGTCCAGGAATCAGGAGTGTATTTGATCATCTTCCCTTTTGGCAGTCCCAGATGATTACATGGTGACAAAGACAGGTTGCCCATGGTAGCAATAGATCACCAGCAAACCGGAATGTGCTGGTGATATGGTTTTCTGTATCTATTTTAAAATAAAATTGATTTAAAAGACAGACTTTAATATTGAAATGACTTGCAGGACCCAAAATGAAGCGAAAGTCTTGTTATTGATATTGTAACTGGTTGTATCAGAATTCCCATGTCAGCTCAAGGCCTATGGGCAGGGATCCAGATGATTTTAAAATTAATTTCCAGAACCAGTGCCATTCCGTATCAGCGCTTTTCTGAAATTCCAGCAGTTTTCATCAAGAGCAATCCAGCTTCCAGGTGGGAATGCGGCAATTTCCAGCAAGAAATTTCCTTCATCCAGCTGGAGATATTATGGTTTATGTATGAAAAATCCCAGCTTCATCCAGCAGGAAAAGTCCAACTAGTAATAGCATACCAATTTACGACCCGCACCAGCTGGAAATCCAGCTGTTGCCAGCTAGGACTGTTGGATTTTTCCAGCTGGATTGATTGTTGTTTATAGTGGGAATTTGTTCCTGGGTCTGACATGTGCTGCAGATTTTAACTTCGTAATACGGAACAGTTTTGTTCCTTCGGACGAAAAAACGACTTCGCAAAACAGAACAATTCGTTACACGGAACTTCATTACACAGAAACTTTTCAACGTGCATGCGAATGGAAAACGGCTGGGAACTGTAAAAAAAAAATTCGTTGTGAAGAAAATTCGTTATATAGAGGTTCGTTATATGGAGCGTCGACTGTCATCAGGACCATCCTCATGAGGCCTCCTTTCCTGGAAGGAAAGAAACTGCTTCTAGTCCCTGTCTGCGTGTGTCTGTCTCATATTTCTGTCCGGCGAAAACGAAGTTAATGACACAATCACTGTGATAATTAGCATGCAAGTAAATGAGGGCCTAGTACATCTTCCGTCAGATTCATGCAGAAAGCATCATTTTGAAATTTGCTCACAGCGGGAAAGGCAGGCACGAACAACTACCCCCAACCCCCGAATCTTGACTTCACTGCGCATGCGCAGCACTCAGCCTTGGGTCCGAGTGTCACCGACGGGAGCCGTCAGTTCCCATCCGGCCTTCCCAGTGGACGGATATGTCGCCTAGGAACGAAGGGAGATGCAGTGAATGGCACCGTAGGCAGGGATGCTAGCCGAATCTGCACTACCTGACTCGGCTTGCCTGCCCGAGAGAGAGTAAAATCCTTTCTGAGCGGTCCTGGACGGTAGTACACAAAGCAATTTGCAAGAGATGCGAACCAATTGGCAATAGGTTCCAGTCGTTTTTAAACTAGCATGGAACGTTTTGCTGGTCATGGAATCGGGTATACGAGGGCTGTTCTGAAAGTTCTTAGTTACGTCATAAATAACGGTACAATTGAAAAATTCGTATTATCAGGCGAAAGAACAATCCATTCCCGAACATTTCCGAAGATAGCCGAAGTCTTATCATCGGTCTATAAAAGCGGCTGACGCGATTGAAATTCATCACTTGCGGCTTGTGAGAAATTCTGCTTCACCACGACAACGCACCGGCGCACAGTGCCGCTCGGACGATGGACTTTTTACACCAATCTGGTGTCCAACTTTTAGCCCCTTGCGACTTTTTTATTTCCTACAATAAAAAAACAAGATGCGGGGAAGGATATTTTTGCGTGCAGATGCAGTCGTCGCAGAATTCACGAGCCTGTATGAGGACCTGCCAAAAGAAGCATTTTCAACTTGTTTTGACAAATGGTTTCAAATAATGAATAAGTGTATTAGTGCTGGGGGAGACTACTTTGGAAAACAATAAATAGAATTCAACAAAATTATTGGACTTTTTTTCTTTAACTAAAAACTTTCAGAACAGCCCTCGTACAAGATTAACCTCTTACGCAGGAGCAATATATCAACTTTTAAAGAATGAAAATAATATATTTTCTTTCCAAAAATTTCCCTTCCCCAGTGATAATGGAAATTGGTGACCATAACTCGAATTTTGTCTTCAGAACTGGCGTCCATTCCAATGGACATTGCATTTACATTGTGTCTATGGTAATTTCTTAGGATTCTCGTGTCTTTGCGCTCCATATTACGCTACAATGGGCGCAATTATGCATGGCTCAGTTCCATCAGAGGCATTCTTTCACCCATTAGTGTTGTAATCTTCAGTTATTTAATTAAATGTATACTATATAATATATGGTGTGATATGGTAAATTCATACAAAATATAAAGATCACATATAAAGCATTAAAATTCCAGTTACAATCACGAAAGAGCTCAAAAATGCAAAAATTAATATTATTCCAATTCCTTAATTCAGGTCTGAAAGGGTTTATGAAATCGGACTATATTTAACCCTATTATGCCAGAAGGAACCATCAATTTCTTAGTCACGTGCATGAACTTTGCACACTTGCTCTCGAATAACGGCTGTCAACTTTACTTCAGCGATGCAAGCTACTTGATGAATTTTCAGATATTATTTTCCCAGCTATTTCTCCCAGGTTTTTGCCAGTTAGATTATACAGATTTGTATAGAAACGTTCGGAAACATGTGACGGACATTCAGGATTTGATTGCAAGCAGGATTATTGGTAGGAACAACTATTTACTTTAAAAAATTGCGAAATCAAAATTGAAATTAATTTTAAAAATTAAATTAAATTAAACGAGCATGGGTCTGTTTCCTAGGGCTAGCTGAATCCACAAAACTCAATGGAATATTTTCCTCTAGCCAAAAACATAATTCGAGCATGAAAGGGTTAAGAACTTGCCAATCTCGACCACGATCAGAGGGGGACTCGCCCAATAGATTTTATTACACCATATACTTAACGTTTATACAAATTTTGAACCATCGTAAATTAGTAGAAAACCAATAAAAACTGTCCCACCCACTTTCCCATCTGAACAAAACGAAGACTTCAGTACTAACAGGAAGCCATACCATCCAATCGGCAAAGGATCATCTAAGATAAATACGTAGAGGCACCTCAAAGCACTTTGATGAAGCATCGCATGGGAAAGTATGATAGAAAGTTTTCAGGATATGATATCCTTGAATATCAGCCAAATAAGCTAACAGGGGATCTCAATAATTAAATCTAGTGGGACGTTCTATTCGGCATCACTGTCCCAAAGAGTGGATGTTTCATTATGGCAGCCCGCTTTACAACCTTACTGGAGTTAGTGGGTGATGAATTGGAGCATCCAGACAGTAGCTAATGCCTATTATTGATCAAACTTCACTGGAGTGATAAGGCTAGGCCTGGGCTACAGTCGTATTGAAAGGAAGCGTCTTGTATCTCTGGAAGATTTGGACCTCAGGCAACAGCTGCTAGCGTAAAGTATAAGGCAGCGTCTATTGGTCGAGCTGGCTCGGCCCTGACTTAAAGGCCGAGCTGGGAATAATGAGCTCTAACATCATTACTAACGTGATACAGTTTCCTGCAGCCCACCAAACACAGGCATGTCTTGCAAGGTAGAGGAAGCTACTTCATTTGCCTTGTGGGAAGACTGTCCACCTCGTTCCACCTCGTCAGCACAAAACTAGACAACACTTCATTATTGTACTATATCATAGTTGTTTAAAAGGTCTTATATAATGTCAGGTTAGGAAGTAGATGACGCGCAACTTAACTAATTTAAGATGTCTCTTGCTGGAACGTGGGTTAATTGAAATCAACTTTTGAAATTACCTATAAAGGGCTCTTTTCTCTTCACACAACTAGGGCCTTGAGTGAGCCCTCTATCCTACCTATATAGAATTTATGGATTTTGTCGAATCCTGCATCTTAATGGTTACTCTTCTTTTGAAGTTGCTGAAAAAGATGCACATGACACTAGTAATATGAGTAAAGCTATATGGAATGCATATCTTTTAGGACTTAGTCCTAACCTTACAAATTCTTTTCCACTTCAGAAAGCCAACTCAGCCACAACCTATAGGCCAAGCTCTCTTCTATAGAGTATTGGATTCATCAACTGAGATATCAGGTGACTTTCCAGGTTGTCCCTTAAGTCAGGGCCTAGCCAGCTTGGCCAATAGACACTGCCAAAGTATAATGCCATTGTGGTTTCTCTTCATCTGGAAATCATGGCCAGAAATACATGTGACCCAATTTTTCCGGTTTTTGAGACACTTGTAACAGGTTTTTTTCTTCTACAATTGCCCCTGTTTTGTATGCCTAGCAGCTCATCAGCATGCCGTTGAATAGAAATGGGAAATACTAGCACACTCCCCCCACCCTCCAAAAATAAAATCAACTCACCCTATCAGAAATTGTGCAAGCTTTTGTGAATATAGGCCTAGTCTATCTTAAAGGTTAAACTTTATTAGCAAGATGCAGTCACTATGTTAGCTCATAGGGGTTATAATGGTTCCATTATAGTTATACCAAGCAAATCATTTGGAAGTAGACAATAGGCCTACTTGATTAGTATTTATCCTACCATACTCATGTACACAGTAGCTAAGCATGACCAACCCTAATAACATCATCCTGTGAATTTCCCTAACATTAGGCTCAGGTGGTAATTGTGGTACAACTGAATGCTAAGGGGATTTGAAACTCTCAGACCCTTTCATGGCCTGAGAAGTCTCCCAATCCCTGCTTTGAAAGTGTATATGGAGGGGTGGGCTGAGCACCTTACTTATGATGGCTGTAGACATAATTTTGCTGGGGAAAAAAAAATTTTGGTCAAGACCTTCCTTAGCAACCCCAAGATTCTCTTTATGATTGCAATGAGCCCCCCCAAAGTCTCAAGTGTAGTTGTGCTGATGGGCATTGAGTTGTCATGAAGAACGGGAGCAGCAGTGCTTGTAAGGTTCTGAGAAGAGTCTACTTTGTCCATTTCCTTTGTCCATTATTATCATAAGGTAACATGGTGTGAGTTTCTCTGTGTTGCACAACCAGTCACTACTTTCTCTTCTCTACTGCCTAGACCCTTCCCATACCCTCACATAAACTTTAGCAAGCTCTCCTACCTAGTCCTAACTGTCTTAGTAACATTACTGGGTGCTTGAACAGACCACCCACTTTTTAAAACCACTTAACTGGTAGTTTTACCTCTGGATTGAATTTCTCATGTAACCTGAACTCTATCTTATTTCATTTCAGAAGTTTGATAGACTGGTGACATTTCATTGCAATGCGAATCCAGCATTTCCAAGTTTTGCACAGAAGCTGAGGCATGCCACATGTGACCCTATTCTGTCATTCAAGTTGATTATCATGTAAAATTAGAATGGTATCTACTCAAGGGCAACGATTGATCAGTGGCATTTTACTCCTTGTAATTGTTGACTTGATATGGGTGGCTTCTTCTGAGGTAACAGAGGTGAGCCTTTGACCTTTTATTGTGATTAATTTCATTCTGTTCATTTTTATGGTGGTTTTTGAATTATTGCAACTAGGCTATTTTAGGTTTATCCTAAAGTATATCAATATCAAGACTTATGAACCTCTTTTGATGACCAATGTTTTTCTTTCAGTATTTATTCAGAGGAGGTGGGAAGTATGACAAGCCCTTCTTTTCAACATACCTCAAGACATCTATGTTTTCTATGTTCCTTTTGGGTTTTTTATTTTGGAAACCTTGGAGGGATCAGTGCCGACGTTCCAATAGTTCTTACACGGTGGGTGTCCAAATCGTTGATATTACCCTAGCCTATATGGAAGTTGTTCATCTTCAAACAGCTAATTTTCCATTTTAGCTTCAAGCAGTCTTTTTTCATATCTCCATATCCAATCCTTGTTGAGGTTTTAAGAAAGACAAATGATCAAGTAGTCACCCAATATAGCTAATAATCCTCTTGAAGACTTTACCCCAGGAGGTGGAAGGGGGGAGGGAGGAAATACATTTTTGAGTTTGCCAAAAACCCTACTTACTGATATGTTGGCAGATTTTTGCCTGCTAAGAGAAATTAATATACCAAATGTTGAAATTTAATTGCATTGTGATGGAAGATCCAGCTGTTATGGCATATTAGCTATTTGGTAAGATTAGAATTGTATCAATTTGTTGGTCATAGAATAGCCTGTAATTTGAAAACTGTTTTCTGAGCTCATAGCATGTGTGCTGATAAATTATCCTTCAGAATTCCATAATGAAAATCTTCTGCATTGATTGCATCCACACATCAGATTGGGACTTACTGGAAATTCATTGGGCTCCTTAGGCAGAAGGTAGAAAAATTTGTTTGTGAGGGTTTTGTGATTAGGGTTGCCATCCATTTATAATTAGTATGGATAGTACATGTTTTCAGATGCAGTGTCCTTATTGCAAACTGGTTTTAATATGAATACTGTTTTCTTCACATTTAAAGCTTAAGATTTTTTAAAAACTTAGTGAAGCTTATTGGCAGCCAAAACCACCCTTTTTCTTTTAAGTCAAAAGCAGTAGACCACACACTTATAGTATCAATTAGTGCCTTGACCTAAAGTGACTGTGGGTGTTTGCAGCATAGTCACATGTGCAAGTATAATTTGAATTATTGTCCATATTCTATTAAATTCAATGGAGGCAACCCTATTTGTGACAGTTTTACTTGAACTTCTCAATGCAGCTATCTCATCACACTGCACTATACTCATCTCCATCTGAATTATTTTTTTGATTGGCAACTACTTCAAATGCTCCTTTCTTATCCTGTGTGGTTTTAATTGTGTTAGCAGGTTCTCCAACCCTCAGTGAATGATGATGTATGTGATGACTTTCATGATGCGACATTGGTAAGATACATCTAAATGTGTTGGTCACCTGGTGGATTTTTCCTGAAGTTCTCATTTTGGTAAAGGTACCTGTCTTTGTGTTTCATTCTAGAGTGACCCTGTTTGGGTACCAACATATAGACAAGATAGGAATTCTGGTACAGAAAGTGAATGTGAGGCTCAACAGCCAGGTGTGCGATTCTCAAAAGTGAGCGAAGTGAGGTATCTCCCTGTAACTTTGGCAGAAGATGCTGTTTTGGCACGCATGTCTTACAATGATGCTCTTGCGGAGGAGGAAGCCACAAGGCGAGTTCTTGAGAGGCTCAGTTTGAGGAAAGTTGTTATCCTTGCATTGCAGTTCTGCATCCTGGTGAGTGGAAAGTGGCCAGTGCAATATAATTAGGTGAATTTCGAAATTGCCAATGTGATGTAATTTTCTGTTTCGTCTTGCTTTTGTTTTAGTGGTTTGCTGGGAATTACTGCTATCAGATGGGACTCCACAGGACTGAAGCAGGAGTTGCAAATGTGCTTTCCTCAGCATCAAGCCTTTTCACACTCATTTTTGCTGCCTTTTTCCCTTCAAATGATTTTGACTCCTTCACTGTATCCAAACTTGCTACAGTTGGTCTTAGCATCTCTGGGGTGGTAAGTGATCTGGAGTTTCCTTCAGTCCTCTCTTCTTTCTTAAGTTTTTTCAGTGTATTAGTTACTTAGCTTTTTTTTTAATTTATGCACAGGTATTAGTGAGCCTCTCTGATGCAAGGCAACAAGGGACTTTCTCTTTTGGGTCAATTTGGACACTTTTGGGTGCTGTATTTTACTCTTTGTATGTTGTTCTGCTCCGAAGGAAGGTCGACCATGAAGATAAATTGGACTTCCCACTTTTCTTTGGTGAGGAAAGATTTCATTTTGTGGGTACCCTATCCATGGAGTGTGGCAACTCACAGCATTCATAATGCTGGTCATGTCTATATATAGGAATCAATTGAAACTACTTGTGCATGAAATTAAAGTTTTTTCTTTTCCAGGATTTGTGGGAGTCTTCAACATGGTGCTTTTGTGGCCTGGCCTCTTCTTACTTGACCATTTGCATGTGGAGATGTTTGAATGGCCAGACCAAAGGCAGTGGTTCATGCTGGTCCTCAATGGTCTCATTGGAACTGTTGTCTCTGAGCTGCTTTGGCTATGGTATGTGATTTGTGCTAGGTAATTCTTTAAAGAATTACCTAGCTAGGTAATTCTTTTCTGTTGAAGCCTGCCTATACACAGTTTTCCTTGTTAGTATTTCTTTTGGTGTCACATTTGTACAAATGTAGAGCTACAGGTCTTCCCATCTCTTACCTAAGGGAAACCTTGATTCTGCATGTATGGTGTGCTCCAAATTTTTTTCTATTACCATGTCTCAACAAAAGTCATAAGCATGGTTTCATCCTATTGGATGTATGTTCAAAATAGTAATGGAAATGCTGAGTAGTTGAGTAATGAAATTTAGTATAATGGTACTTACAAGACTGATGTTGGGCAGGGGATCGTTCATTAAAATGTGCATTGGTGATGCCAATTTCTTTGGTAAAACTGATTTGTTTTTGCTAGTCCAAAATTTCTTCAAAACTCTGCTAAGATTCAGTGTACATGTAGATTTTGTGTCTAGCAAAAGAGTCTAATTTAAACATTTTTGGAGGTAAAGAGACAAAAAATGCATCACAGTGAGAATGAACTGTGCAAACAGAAGACTGGAGTAGCACGAGTGGCTGGCTAAGTACTTGCCTGCTTCATGCTCCCTGCTTTCTCCCATTGATGATGGAATTCAGTCGTTCCCCCCTCCCCCCTCTCTGTGACTGAAAGAAAAATCTCACTTCACTTCATAACTTGTTCTAAGCCTGTTTATTACTATATCTTCCTACAAAGTTTGCTGCTCACTGCATTTTGTCAACTACTGGTTGTGCTTGAGATTCTGCCTGTAGTGGTAAAGGTGAATGGCACCAATGGAGTGTTAGTAGAATGTAGACAAAAACATTGTTGTTCTGGATATTTCACAATGGGATGAGCAAAGTAACTAGAACAAATATCAAGACCATTCCAACTTTCTGGACTCAATATATTAAGCATGAAGTGGAAGACTGGAGAGAAAGCACACAGGATTAAGATGGTGGCAGGAAAAGCAGCTCATGTTTTTCATTTTCAGCAATTTTGAAATCATGAATCCATCCAGTTTGGCATTCTCTGGTCATTTATACAAGTTTGATTTTTCTGCAGGGCATGCTTCCTGACTTCATCGCTACTCGCAACATTGTCGCTGTGCCTCACCATTCCCTTGACCCTGGTGGCAGATCATGTGATGCGTCACATGGATTATTCTTGGCTCTTTTTTGTCGGAACTCTGCCGATCTTCCTGTCCTTCTTCCTTGTGGCCTGGCTACAACATTCACAAAACCGGGATCCCATCTGGGAAGGACTACAAGCAATATGGCGTTGGTGTTGTGGGAGGAGACCTTCTGTGATGTGAGTTGCTTTGCTCGATCCTCGTTGCAACTATATTGGGGTCTTCTGTCCTCATTTCGATATGAAAGCCTTAAATAATAGGACGAGCTTCTTCCTTCACTCAAGGATGCTATGTCATATTGCAGGTTGACATGTGAAGACGAAGGGCAAGAGGAGGCACTGATTGCCCATGAGGATTCGACTGCTTCTTGATACCAGCAACTGTGATGTAATTAGACACTCATAGGGAATTGATTGTGATTTTTTTTTTTCCTCCTTTTATGGGCCAAGGTTTGCCTCAGGTCTTTCTTCACCATTTCCATGGGGCATATGGATCTCATATTTTCATTGAGTATCCTTTTGGATTATGCATAGTTCTGGTAGTTGATCATATTGAAACTCTATCAGATATTCTACAAGATCCTCAATCAAGTTCCAGGAGACAGTCCCATCATTGAAATGACCATGCACGAAGCTGATTAGTGGTGCTGCGAAGGATAACATCTTGGAGAAGCTGCCATGGTAGACCCATGGAATCGAAAATATTCTCTTGGTGGTTTGCTGAGATGTGCCAAGGAACAAGTAGTCCTTTTCAAGGCACAGGACTGTTGTTTGACTCTAGTCTTACTGTATGAAGAACATTTTAAAGCTATTCTAACATTGAGGAGGAATGTTAGGGAGACAGTGAGCATCTTATGGTTCTCTGGTTGCTTTCTGCAGCATTCTGGTTTTAAGGGCAAAATGGGGGGATGGCCAAGTGGTATGAAATGAAGTCTGAGAATTGAGAGTGATGGTGAACCCATTGAGTAGAATTGAAACAGGTCAGCATCCATATGAAATACAGCTCCCAGGACTTCCATTTTCAAATTCTGTCACAAGGCACAATCTTCCATCATTGCTAACCAAAGCTGATGCCATGCTTTCTCATCTATTGCTTTATTTTCAGCTGCCTTGTTCCTTTAGCTTGAGCTTCTTCTCCAGTGACTGGAGTCACACTTTTGCGTTTCGTCGTTCGTTTTCGTACCACTTCAGATACATAAGCAGTAGCTATCATATGTAGTTTTGCTTTCTTTTCTTGCCATGGTTCATGCACTTAGTGGACTTGGATCTTCTAGCTTCCTTGAAAGCACTCAATGTATTTGTTTGAGGCATGTGAGAAGAAGCCACAGCTTCAGTGGGCAGAATGAGCATTCTTATGACTATTCCAATGTTTGTTGTTCCATTACTGACTGCCGTGCATGGGTGTACAATCCCAGCGTCTCATCATTCTTGGGATTGAAGCCTTTTTTCGGCTTTTTCAGCAGAAAACCAGTCCTTTGTTTGTCAAGTTTTTCTCTGCTTTCTTGATTTCCTCATTCCTTGCTGTCTTTGTATAACCTCTGCTGCCTTAGAGTGCTCATTGTCTTCTGTTGTGGATTCCTCTGTGCAGTAGCTAGAAAAAGGTCAATTGATGCATTGGCCCTGTGGTGGTGATGATGCAGATTGCCCTGGTATGCCAAGGTAGCATTTAATGAGCTCTCTGCTGAAGCACCTTTCTAGCTTAGAGGCTAGCCAAGCAGGAGACTAAGTACCTCCCTGCAACTAAATATGAACCAACTAAGCAGTATCCACCGTATTAACAAGGACACTGCATCAGGGTTTCTATTCTAATCCTCACAATCCTCATCCATGACTTTGGAATTGTGAAGAGTCAAGGAAGCATTAACTTCATGGAGCTTTTCTTTCCTAGAAAAACTAATTTTTTCCATTGATTATAAGCAACTGTACACATTTTATTGGCCCTTCCGGACCAGTTGAGTCGTAGGTCCAGTGATAGGATGCCAAAGAAATGTCAGGACTCAGGATTTATTTGTGTGACTGAAACTTATTCTCAAATCAACATATGTTATCTCAAAGCTCAAAAAAGAGTGTTGATCAATAGTGATCATTTTGTTCAATTTTTCATCATATTTCCACAAGACATAATTCTTGAGCTGATGGCAGAATTCCAAGACCCAGCCAGTGACATATTGCCAGCTTTAATCATAAGAGTAGCACCCAGAGATTCTGAATTTTGTGAAGAACTACTAGGAATAAATTTCAACTAGCAGCTATTCAATTGCATTCCCATTGTAGGCATTTAGTCTCGGTCCACTGAGACCCGTTTCCATTCTTATGTTGAAGTAATGCGTTAGCAAAATGGAACTCTCATTTATAACCAAAATGAAGAATCTTCTTGATCCAGTGGTGCATCTGTGTAATTTTTTCATGACTGAACTTTCAATTACTGATTTTCCCATCTGACGAAGAGGGAGTTCTTTTACTGGTGCTTTTATGCCTTTTTTCGGGAAGCAATTATGAGGAACCAATCTAATGCATCTTTATGGATCAATGACCATCAGAATGGCTTCCAGTAGCACACATGACTGCCTCTGTTTTTGCCAGATAAGGGCTGACACTCTCAAATGGACAAATTTTGCTCCTTGCTTGAAACTTTGGTTGTATCTATTCGACTGCAGGCTCTGCAGAGGTTCGTCGTTTAGGATGAGCTCTGTGGTTGTTCTTATGGACTTTTTAGTGCAGGATGGTTTGACACTCGAGTCCCCAAGAGGTCGGTGGCGATGAAAGAACTTCGCAATTAGGACGTCGAAGGCTTCAAAGTTGACTCTGGGCACTTATAATGGTGTTCTGATGTACCTCTACCTTTCGGTGTGGACCTTCAACCTTGAGCGATTGCATTCCCTTGTAAGCCAGGATCAAAGTGATGTCGTGTGAGGATTCCCGGCCGCCCTCGCAAAGGTGAAGCCGCTTAATCCCACGTGTCGCTGAGCCTCAATTTTCGCCTTTGGGCCTCGATTCCGCAAAGCGTTCTCAGAGAGTCGATCCTTCGTCGATGTACCGAAGTTTGTTTTGTGAATGTCATGCTAGTCAGTATGCCGGTTGGATGGAATTCTCTTCTTTTCTCTGATTCGCTCTAATGCACCACTAAAATGTGACTTTTGGACTAGACCCGTGAAACTGTTCGGGAAGCCTTCCAAGAAGGAGGGGAACTCTCGACTCATAATTTTTTTTTTTTACCTGCGAACGCGGCTCGAATAATGTGTGAAAATGGGGCCAGTTCGTTGCTTGCTTGAATCTGGGAATTTGGAATTCTCAAGTACCTTCTCCGGGCACAATATGAATTGCGCAATGACAAATTTGACTATATTTGAACTTTTCTGTGGTTCTCAATCTTTGCCGATTTGAGGTGGCTTCTTTTCCTCGAGTAGTCTTCATGCTGGCATGACAAAACTCATGATGATGTGATCCCCAAGCACCTTGCTTTTCATGGATGATGAATGTGATGATGATGTCTGTATTGCTCTTGACTTGTACCTGTGAAGAAGATTTTCCTGTCATGCGCATGTGGTGTCCTCATTTCCATGAAATGAAGAGGATTAAGGGGGCCCTCTCTGAGGTATCTAATCCAATTAGTTAGACTTATGAGCTCGATCATTGATCTGGTTCCGGTGTGATCATGTCCCCCATTGCGGGCTTTTCTATTGAAAGTTCCCATCATTTGTATGAAAATGAAGTTCCGAGTAAAGTAAGGGAATTCCTATTTCAGGGAGCACGCAAAGGGAAAGAGGAGGAAAAAATTCCTCCGGAGGAAATTCTATTCCTGGACGTCGCAGGGTTTATTGGAGAAAATGAAAAAGATTGATGGCATGTCCCTGTCAGCAGGAGAGTCCAGATGAGTAGCTTCGTCCCCCGTGATGAGATTCGCTCATCCGTGGTATTTAATGATATCCTTGCCCTTCCACTTCAATCTCCGGGTAAATCGTTTCTCCCCTTCCGCAGCTTCATTGGTGGGCGGGGTGTGGAGGTGGCAGGGGGGGGGGGGGGGGGGGGGGGGGGGGGGGGAGGAATTTNGGGGGGGGGGGGGGGGGGGGGGGGGGGGTGGGGGGGGGGATGTGGATGAATTTGGACGTGATGGATGGAATGAGCTTTCCTCCGCTGGATCGACTGGAGGACCTCACGAGGTTCTGCGTCTGTCTTCCAGGAAGACAATTTACGATTGATTTCTGGAGAGATGAGGCCGGGAAGAAAGAAAGCCTTTTGGAACGGATCCCACGAGGGGGAAAGAAAAAGAAAGAGAAAAAAAAAAAATCAGTCGCAGGAGTCCCCAGTTGGACCTCGGGCCATCGGGCCCTCGACGATATGTGACGATCTCGATGAGGAGCGGATTCCCATCCGTCTTAAAGGAATGTCATCTATTTTCTCGTCGTCGATGGGGGAGGCGAGGCCCCGGAGAGGGATCTGATGGACGGAGATGAAAAGCAGTCAGGAATTCCCGGCTTGGCATCTGATGAATAATCCCGAGACCTGACAACGGGCCATCGATCCGTTTCCCCTCCACCCCCTTTTTTTTGCCCCCCCCCCTTTCTCTCCGCGTGACTCTCGGAGGAGGGAGAATAGGCCCCCTATGATTTATCGGCCTCCGTTTCTCCCAAGGTCCCCCCGGGCAGCCTCGCAAAAGGTCCCGAAATCTCCCGACGGATACGAATGAGAGAGCGTCAGCGTGGCAGATTCCTGGCACTCGGTCCCGCGATTCCCGCTGGCACCCGGCCCGTCGAGCGGACAAAAGACGCACGAAGGGAAAAGAAAACGCATAAATGCTATGAAATTCTATTGCTACCAACAGTCGGAGCAGACAAAAAAAAAAAAGGGAACAAGGA